CTTTCAATTTTTCATTAAAGCCTTTTAGCTTTTTCTATCACACGCTGATCCATAAACTGTAGAAGAGAAATTATATTTGTCGTTAAATATATAATTCTATATATTCCATTGAATACATCAAGGTCGGTTTTTCCAAAGATGCGGTCAATTACTACGTATCCCGAAGGCACATTATTATGAAAACTATGCTTTCCATAGTTGATATGATTTTCTCCCTCCTTTTATTTTCGTTAATTGTTATCATTTCCACTCAGTACTTTATTGTTTTAAAATTTTTCTTTTTATATGAGATATGATTAATTTTCAGTTGTACAATATTGTCTTTTCATTATATTCCTTGTACAAAAAAGTTGCTATCGTCATTTTTTAATCTTATATTCCTTATTATATTCCTTCGTCAGTTGAATTGTTAAAAGACATTCCGAAAATGGAAACGAATACTAATGAATTCCTATTTTTAATGAATTTTAACTTTCTGTTCGTTTAGAATATTTTTACACGGAAAACGACGTTCAATAATATAGGTAACAATAATTTGGCAAAAATTCACTAACTCGGGCACCAAAAGTAAAATTTTACTTCAGTGAAAAGAGTTTAACGAAATGGGCTTACAATGTGTAACATGTTTAGCATGAGATCCATTTTTATCGATTTATCCTGTAATACTGAATAATACTGAATAATACTGAATAAACTAAAGGAAAATGCATTTTGAATTTGCAATTAGATAGATAAAAAATTCAAGTTATCAAATTAAAGTAACATATTTTTTAGGATCGTATAATCATCTGTTTGTAATGGTCGAGTCACAAATGTAATAAAAAATAAAAATAAATAATAATTTTTAACGTGCCAAAATATTTAAAACATATTATTGAATTAAAGGGATATCGATCTATCTAAACTTTTCGAAAAAATAAACGTCCTAAATAACCTATTTATTTTGAATTTATTAAGTATGCAAACGCTATTACTTTATGAAAATTGGCCGTTCTTTCGACTTTTCTCTTTATTTTTAAACAACAATTTACTAATTTTTTCTTTTATAATATATCTACTCTAGAAATTTTCAAGAATATCTACAAATTTATTATTTATGAAAAGTACTTGAAAAACTATAGTTTTACGAGATCCTGTTCAAGATTGTTTAGTGTACGAATACCTTTAACGTTTAAGTTCATTTTAACCGAAAGGGAACAAAACATTACGGTCTTGTTTATTGAGAAAAATATAACAATTTTTTAAATATAAAAGTTTCATACTCATATCAATCATAGTGGGAACTAACTGCTCGATTTATTATTATACTTTGTACCTATTTTACGCATGCTTCGATTATTTTCAAAGATTATATCCTTTTAATCAATATCACCGAAACATTAACTTCGTTAAGAACCGAGTATGATTGCCTAGTAAAAATTACAAATATCAAATGGGAATAAAATTCCGTTACCTCATCATATATGTGTATCACTCCAAAGGATAATTTTCACTGTCATAAACCTTATGCAAAAGATCAACAACTTACAAATATATATAGTCAGCTAAATTTCTATCACAATTGATGCATAGTCTAATATTTCATGATTTATCATGACCTTAGTTTTTAAATAAATCAAACATAAAAAGAAGTGAATAAAACATTACCCAGAAAAATGTAAGATAAAAATTTAATTGTAATTTTAAGGTAATAAAAATAATCCTTGCTACTTAAAACGGTTGAAAAACTCGATATCTTAATTAAATAAAACAAACAAAATAAATGAAGAAAAGTTTATATCCAACTAATGAAATGTCGTCAAAACTTGTAAAGTCAACTAACATTTATTAATAACAGCACCTTCATTATTCAGTATTGGTAATATATTTATAGAATATTTTCTGTTTAAATTCATATTTTGAATCAACTGATAAATTTTTAATCGTAGTAATATCCTCTAAATTTATACATGAAAGAAATAAAAAATAATCGTATTATAGTTAATTAATATTCTTGATAATTGCCACGGTTTCTGAAATTCGTACAATTCAAGATTTGTATTCACGAATCAAATAATCGCTGTACCTATTTTATTTACTATGATTAATTGCTTATTACTTACTATTTTGTATTATTATAAATCAAATAAAACCTGAAGAATCTAGAAAATAACTAACTTAACATTCCATACTCTTTCTAATATGGTAACGTTTAATGTGAGTCTACTAATATATGCATGATAAAACATATTAGATATAAGTTTGCAGAAAATAGGTAACATTGTCCAATAACGTAAATAAGAAAATTTCAAAAATATTTTATGAGAATGATCAATAATGTAAGACTTTTATAAGAATATTAATTCCTTAATAATTACAATATAAAAACAGTAAACGTGATTTAATTTTATAATGGAAAAATTTTCTATTTTAACAATTATGTATATAATACACATATAAAATAATTATTAAAGACAAAATCAAAAGGATATTAAAATTAATAACGAAGATAATGTGAAAAAATGTTATACTACAAGTATAGTATGTAAATGAAAGTTTCAATTCAATATATTTATATATATTATTTATAAATTTATTTTTATTTATAAATATTATATATATTAACAGTATAATTATAACTCTTCCTTTATATTTCTTACATTTTAATGGTATATTTCTTTTGCATGAACTTATAGTATTCAATTATTTTGATATTAAAGACTATATACAAAAGTATTAGTAATATATATCTATATTATATATGTTATTACATTAATAGTTTTACATTAATAGTAAATTTGACGATATAAAATATTCTTCAACATATTTCTCATTGTATGTTATGTAATAAATTTTATAGCTTAAAATAATCTTACCATAAATGGTGTATGATGTCCTAGTGCAAGTAATCTTAATCCAAGTCCATGTAATATATTCACCATACCAGCTACACCAGCATATTTCCCAAATGCAACCACTCTTTGTCCATTATCGTCTGTTAGTTTTTCATAATCTAATAAACGTATATTCTTTTCAAGAATAGCATCTAGGAGAGGCATATTACTTTCTTGCGCCTTGATAGTATGGGAAAAAAAGCAATAAGTTTTATTAGATATAAGTTGATCCACAGGAACTTGTTTCACCCCAAAAATTACAGAGGCTGAACTAATATCCTCTTGTAACATAGCACCTGCAGCTTGGTAAGAGTGTGCAGGATAAGCTCTTCTATTACTAGGTTGTACAATTACTTTTACTCCTTCTCTAATTAATTGACGAACATTTGCAGGTGCTAAAGGAGCTCTTCTTTCCCACACTGACTGATCTTCTCTTTTTATTGCTATTATTTTGCCTTTTAAGGTCTGTAAAAAATGCTTTTGATTAAATATTTTATGTTTATGTTTAAAAACACTCATCCTGGTCACTATTAATATTGATGATCATACAAGAATACATATTATATTATGCATTTCTTACATTAATACAACGATTTGAAGACATGTTGTTACGTATTGTTAATAAATTTGCATTGAATTCACACTTGCGTAATTAAAAAACTGTCAGTGATTTTCAGTATAGTCATATAAATGGTATAAAAGCACTTTGTAGAAACGAAACTCAAAATTCACCAACTTCATTAAATTCACAACAAAACAATAAGAAACTATTGTGTAGTACAATACAACATGCTTCCATTTTAAATTAAAGCTTCTATATTACTGTGTTGATATTACATGGGTCAGTGAGGTCAATGCAAATCTCAGAATACGTTACCACATCACTGATAAACTCAAAGTCACGTTCTTATCAAAAAGATTTGACTTTCTTTCAGCATATGATTTCTATCATATTAATTAACTCAGATTAACAAAACTTCATATTTTAAACCTGACTTCATTTTTAATGTCTTTTAACATGACAACATAATAACTAATGGAATTTTTAATTACCAACATATATTATCTCCATTCATTAGGCTTTTTTATGCATTATACTAGATCTATTAGAAAATATATCGTTATTAAATAAAAGAAATTTCCATATTGAATTTATTTCATTATGATACAAAGTATTATCTTTACATATTACATAGGACTAATATCGAATAAAATACTAAACTAATTTTTCTATACCATAAAAGTATTGGAAAATATCAATTAGATTGTGTTTTAATAGATAAGTACATTTTATTTTTTATTGTCTGTTTAGTTGGATTGATCTTTTTCAGTATTTGAGTCATTACATTAACTAATTGTTCAGAAGTAAGACCAGTTTTCTTTGATTTAAACTTTTGTAAAAGTTCTGTTGTTGTCATTGGTTTACGCATAAGATATCGTCTAACTGCATCTTCTGTAATTCCAGATTCACTATAACATAACAAATATATTCATTGCATTAAAAATTATATTGCAAGACTCTAAATATTTTATGGAAAAAATATCACGAATTGCTGATTAGGCATAATAGTCAATTAAAATCATAAAATAATTGAAACATGATGTTTGTAATGAAAATATTATTTAATATGTTTATTATTCATCCGGTGAAATGCAGTACATGCGTTTTTAATAAATATTTTCTTGATTTGTATAAATTGAAAACCGTTTTGACATTTCTGCTGGATAGCTTTTTCTTCAGAAAAAGGTACAGAATCTAATGCATAGCAAATTCAAAAATAAAAAATTGATAAATAAAAATAAATTCGTAAATAAAAAACCGTTTCGTGAAAATGTAAAAACAGAACGTAGGAGCTACGAAAATCGGTATCTTTTTAAATTTTAATGGTTACTTATAACCATTCAAAGCTTCAAAATATAATCATAAGCACTGATGGGTTCGAAAGTCTCTCCCCTCTTATCATATGAGACAAATTACAGCTTTTTAACTACTCTAGTTTTCATATACCATTTAATTTTTGTTAAAAATTTAGTTTTTACAAATATTCGAATTTTTCGAGAAATAAAGGTGATACAACAATTCCGCTTACAAATTTGTACTCAAGGCGAAGAACTCTACAAAAATCATCCACTATATATTGCAAAAAAGAAAGAGAGTTAGAATTTGTTGGACAATGCAGTATGTATAAATTACGATGAAGAAGAATAAATATCAGGTGTACTAAGTTATATGATTATCACTTATTTTTTATTTTCTCTTCTTCTTTAAAATTCAAATGAGGAAAACTAATTACTTACATCATTATTTAGAAATTGTTTTGTTTGTTTATTATTGCTCATTCTAAATTAACTATTATCTAGACTCAATTGTAGACCAAATTCTAGACCCAATAGCTTTTATTATAATAAGAAAACCTACCTATGGAAAATATTACTATATAAGATATTAAAGAGACATTGCAATAACATTTCTAAGAAAATAAATAAGAAACACACTACAAAACCTATTATCCTATTTAATTCATATTGGCATTTATAAATAATTACAAATATTAATACCAACATTGATAGAGATAGTAATGAAATTACAGATTCTCATGAGTGAAAACTGAAAAGAATTTCATTCTTTATTTTCAATTAGTAAATTATTGCATACTACTTTATTTTCATGTATATTAATATTCTATAACAAGAAACAATATATGCACCAATATTCCTTTGCATATTCTTTCATTTGAAAGGTTTGGAATTTTATTCGATACGTATGTATATCATGTTAATCCTCAAAAATCAAATAAGTTTAATATAAAGAGTATAATTTCTATCTATATTCATATTTTAATACTTCATTTTATAAAATAAAATTTTAAAAAATAACACTGTACAATAAATTTTAACTTTTTTTCAAATCTCTAATATCCATTGGTAAACACTTGTAGAGTTGATCTTTCTGAATACGAATTCACAATCGAAATAGCTCTAGTACCCTCGGTTTTCGAGAAATATGAGTTTTTTCAAAAATGTACGATTTTTAGCTAAAATGAAAAATTACACGAAAACTAAAAAAATTAATAGGTTCATTCCTATCTTAAAAATTAGATGAGAGTTTTCCGAGTTTATGGATATCAATAACTATAATTATTTATGCTTCTGAATAATTACAATTGGTCATCAAAATTTAAACAAAAATCGCCGAACGTATTTCCTACGCACTATTCTTTCATTCTTACGAAAAGTTCTTTATCCAAAACAAACTTGCTATACGGTATCTACGATCCCTCAGTCATTTCTGAAGAAGAAATCATCTAGAAAAAATATTGAGATAATCTTCAATGTTAAAAGGGCGGTAAAATATACATCTGCAACGTGTAAGCTGTATTTTACCGCCATGTAGCATTCAAATGTCTACACTCGGCAGGGACGTAATCATGCGTACTCTTTTATATCATGCGTAATCTTTTACATATATAACATGTATACATATTTTCATGTATTTTATTATACTGATTGCAAAAGTATAAAAAATTTCTTTCATTCATCTGTAATTTAAAACAATTTCGTTATTTAATACAAATGACTTTATAATGTAAAGTTGTTAAAAAATAAATGCAATTGTCTACAAATTTATAAGAATTTTATAATCGGGATTATAATACGCTTTCTCAAACATGGTAATATTTGGATATTATTTAATAACAGAATTTAAAGATGATGCAAAACAGTAGCGTTTAAGTATTATTCAAGCATATTTATTTATCACTCTACCGTGACATCAATTTATGAATTTTAGGTATTCACATAGCGATTCCTTGGTATTAGACTTATTGTTTTAGAAAAAAGTATCTTACCACGCATTAGGTAGAAAAGTGTGCGGACAATTTGCGATTCATGCTACAAGTAATCTTCTATTTTATATATGTATATCTCATATTTTCTGCAGAAAAATTTTATTAATTCCTAAGCATCTATGTTTATTCTTTAACAGCGTCAGTATTTAATATCGACGTCGACTTCGCATAGCGACGTCCCTGTTGAGTCTAGACAAATGAGTAATACCTGCGCGGCAACAAAATAGCTTACGCACTGCATGCATATTTTACCGATCTATCAACATTGAAGATCATCTCGTTTTTTCTTTTCTTTTTTTTTCTTTTTTTTTTTTTTTTTTTTTTTTTTTTTTTTTTTTTTTTTTTTTTTTTTTTGGATTATTTCCTTTTTATAAATGTCTAAGGAATACGATATCGTACAGCTAATTTGTGCTAGATAAAGAACATTTTGTAAAAGTGCAAAAATAGTGCGTAAGAAATACGCTCGGCGACTTTTTATAACTTTGATAACCAATTGCAGTTATTCAAAGGCATAAATAATTACAGTTATGAATATCCGTAACTCGAGAACCTAAGATGGGAATGAATCTCTGCACTTTTTTAGTTTTCGTGTAATTAAAAAAGGATTCAAAAATTCTATTAAATTTCCTCCATCCAATGTGTAAATATTTTTGTTAAACATACTGTGTATGTACATCAATATTTTGTATGTATAGAAAATATAATTCATTGCATTTTAATTGGAGTAATAAAAAACAACTAATAACAAAAACAGTAAGCATTCATTTTAAGTATTAACATTAAATATTAATTGATGCTATATATATAAAAAAAAACAACAACAAAGATATCTAGTTTATAGTATTAAGTGATTTATTACAATACTAGTTATCAAGAAACACTTTCAAAGAAATCAAAATTTTATATATGTTCTTATTTCAAAATATATTAAAAGCAATATTCTTTATAATTAATTAATTTTAACTCTGCAAGAAGTATATCAATATATAAAATTTAATTAAAATCTCTTTTATTTATAAAATTTAAGTAATAACAAGCAACATACCTGGCTCCTGGAATGTAAGAAGTTACTGGTACTAAATTAAAATTATCCAATTTTAACTTTTTCGATTGTGATAAATCTGGAGATCCAGATTGTTTTCTTTTTATGGAGTCTGATATTCCAGCAGGTGTAGGTGTTGCAGACCTTGAACTATGTGCACTATTAGATTTTTTATTATCTTTTTCTTTTACTGTATCAGATTCTGAATCTGAGTCACTTGAAAAATCGCTAGAAGAATCTTTGCCTGATGTAAGTTTTTTTAAATCTTTTTTTTTTAATTGTTTCTTCTTTTTCTTTTTATCTTTTTTCTTATCTGTATCTTTAGTGGTCTTATCTTTATCCTATAATAGACAGAAAATAAAATAAGTGTCATATTAGTGGAAGAAGGTATTAATTTAATTTTGATCTTTCTTAATTCACCTTATCATCTTTATCTTTATGTTCATCATCTTCATCTTTCTCTTCATCGCCATCCTTTTTGTCTGCTTGTTCTTCATCTTCATCATCTTCATCAGAAGCAAGTAATTTTCTTAATGCGTCTTCTTCTGCAACTGACTTTATTTCTTTCTGTTGTTCCAATTCTGATTCAGAATCCGACGAATCAGAAATGTAATCACATTCTCTACCTTCTTCATCTCCGTCATCACTTTCTTCAAATGCTTCATCATCCGAAGCATTTTTCTTTTTCTTTTTCTGGATAACAACTAATACAAATAATTAAAGTAACACAAAATACAGCTATATAACATTAATCATATAAAGTGAAAGAAATTCATCCTACTACATAAACAAAAATTATATCTTAACCCCCTATGCTGTGTAAGATGTACTAGAATATATATAAACGATACTGCATTTTACACTCTATACTCGTAACATGCAGTGAAAGTATTTATATAAACATAGCAATTTTATATGTATAATAAATAATCTCGTCTAAATAATAGAAAGAATAAAGAAAACATGGTAACAAATATAATCACATAACTATTAAGTATGTAAACACCTTTGCCTTTTTTCTTCTTTTTCGCATCATCTTCTTCATCGGAGTTTCGTTTACTTTCTTCATCGTCGCTGAGCGAATCGTCATCATCACTATCCATCCATTCATCCATTTCAGATATTTTTAAGTCTTTTTCTTTTTTATTTGGTTTCTTACCCTTCCCAGTCTCTATTATTTCTTCATCATCTGCACCTTCCTCATCGTTCCTAAGTCTTTTACGCAACATTAGTGAAAAATAATTCATTACTTTATTTCTACGACTAAACTCTTGTTCTGCTTCTTCTGCACTTAGTGCTTTATATCTTTGAATTGGTTGAAAATTATACCTGAATATATAAACATTTCATTGAAATTTTAATGAAACATAGTTTAATTTTGAAATAGTCAAATTACATTACCATTCATGCAATGGAAAAGCTTCTATGGCTCCATCAGCAGCATGCGTAAAAACATAATATGCAGCATTTTCACTCACACCACCTTCTCTTATGCCTTTAAATTTTTTTCCAGTTTTTCCTCCAGATTTTAAAATCCAAGGTTGATCCTCTGGTTTATATTTTCTACTTGTAATGCCAAACTTTTTTCTTCTTGCTTCTTCTCTTGCATCTCGCCCAAATTCAGATCCAGCTCCAAATTTTGGCATTTCCTCCTCTATTCCTTTATATTCTTTCATATTGTTTTCACGTTCCATTTTCACTTGACTCCATTTCGAAAAATCAACATTTAATGTTGCATTAAAACGCATCACATTGTGCTTTTTCTTGTTGTTTCTAAAATATCATAACATTTTACTTAATAATATTGATTCTATAAACATTTATATATATAACCAGAATAATTTTTAAAAGATTATTTTATTTACATACTTTGGTACTCTGATACTAAATTCTTGTATTGAAGGTGCAACTGAAAGCTAAAATTGTTATTACATTAATATAATAAATCTTAATAAACTATAGTTTAATTAGATTAATTAAATATAGTAAATTCTTTATCTTTACAAAGCATTTTTTTCATACAAATGTTAAAAATTTGGAATACAAAGTCAAAAAATAAGTAAATAAAATTTATCAATTTTGACATAAGTTATATACAATTTAATTGATAATAATGCAATTTTAACTAAATTATATCCCTCTGTTCTACAAATAGAAATATGTTACTTTTTCTTTTCTTTCTTTCTTTTTTTTCTTTTTTAATACTTAAATAAAAGCCAGAATTCTATAATGTGCTTACAATTCTTAAATACTATCAAAAATTTGTATCCAAGATGAGAAGGTATATTTTCTGCAATAAATAATTTGGCAATTGGATTGAAAATTTGTTGAAAACAATTTATAATTCTATAAACTGTATATATTGTTTAATTCAGGCTGGCACAAGCTAAGCTCCAGAGCTTAGACAGCTTCTCCACCTCTAGCATCATAAAAAACAACTTCTACAGAATTTTCTGAAAACTTTGAATAGATCTTAGATTTCTTATGTTTGTATATAAAAAACTCTATATAAGAAAATTAAACAAGATACGAGAGTGTTACAAATGATTTATTACAGAATAGAAACTGACATATTTTTAATGGAAATATATGATGTAGTGCACATTATTTGCAGATACAGATACTTTATACTCTTAATAATAAATAATAAAAATCTTAATTATAAGTACATGTACATGTGTATGCAAGTGCAGGTTTATATAGGATAGAAAAATACAAGAAAAGTATAAAAAATATGATAACATTAAAATAATAATGAAAATGGAAAGAAAGAAAAAAGTAAGTTAAAAAATCATATATGCAAAGTCATGGGAAAAAATAAAGAGAACTTGTTAAAAATGAAACTTATACATAGGTGAAAACTTAATAGGATGATAGAATTTACTGAAAGTAGATAAGAGATAAACTTATTAATAATAGTATAATATAATAATAAAAATATCCATTTGAGTACACCAATTTGAATAATAATCTTATGAATAAATATTATGGTAAAATAGTAGTGCGAACTTGCCGAATATTTTTGAAGATAATTGAAACCATCAAATTCATTGATAATTCAGTGATTAGATAATTAGTTTATAAGCACACCGAAATTTACGGTTTTAATTACTTATTGATTAGATTTTGATTTCTTTGTGTGACTTTGTTACTCTTTCGACTTTTATCATTTCAATTTCAAATTTTATGAGATTAAAAGATCTTTAAATACGTGTTAGAGTTAATCTTCATTCACTTTGAATAGGGGAGAAGATCCAACATAATCCAAGAGTTTCAAATAGAAATCGTAACGAAATAAATCACTGTTGTAATTTACGTTAAGAAAAGAGCAATTCTTATGCAAAATATTTTATTTTCCTAAAATAAATTTAAAAATAGTGTTTGAAATTGATCATAAAATATGGTAAGATCGGTTGTTTGAGATTACCGAAATTCGTAGTATTTATAAATAATTGTGGAAATTTTGAATAAAAAAGATGAATGTTAATAGAAAAGATGTTGTTTATTACTATATTAGTTACAATTAGTTAGAACAAGTTCTGCTAGATTGTAAAATATTTTCCACTTAGTAACTGAACTAATAAAATCACCTTCAAATTTATCGTTTGTCATTTTTTTCTTCAAGGCTGAAGTGCTATTAACTATAAACTGTATATTTTAATGCTTTTACATGACAGCTTTAATATCATAATGAACATTAATAATATCGGTGAAAATACACTAATTCGATCACAAAATAACGTTGGATTTGTAAATAAGACGGCAGAAAAATTTTTACGTAGAGCTAGCTGTTAGTAATTAATGATATTAATAATTAACAAAATATGATTCAGGCTATGTACATATGTAGAATAATAAAAAGATATAAATATTAAATAAATAAATAGATAGACGAATAAATACACGTGTACATAACGTATATGTTTAATCACATAATATTATAAATAATTTATAATATTACTATTTGTAATAAACATTGTAAGTTACAAATGATTGATAGATATACAAATACAATAATAATATACCTGTGTGTTGCAACTAATAAATAACTCATGTATTTTATATCCGTTATTTGATAATTCTTCTGGAAATGATAAAATGTAAAATTCTTTCATAACTTCCTTCTACCTTTATTTATAGTAAATGCAATATCTCTTATTTTATACGTTTAAAGATAGACTTAGAAGAAAAAATCCCTAAATATAAATTGTTAATTTTGAGAAAATTTATATAGTATAATACAGTTTATGTAAATATATTTAGTATATTATGTTTCTATATGTTGAAATTTATATTAAAAAGGTAGTAACTTCCGTTAGCACATACGTGAAATCATGTTTCATAAAATATCTTGAAAATCACTAGATGTTTAAGAAATAGTTTAAATTTAAATAATTAATATTCCCTAAATATAAAAAGGATTTAAAAAAAACGTTCCAAAAAAATTTATTTATTTATTGAATAACTATTCATACTAAAAACTAGTAGATCTTTGTGAATTTTTGCTGTAAAATATTAATATCGAAACGTTAAAAAGTTACAAACAGTACTACCGACGAAATTGATATTTTGATTTACGACATTAAAAAGAATATTGTTACATTCGTTATTTTCTTATGGTCTGTGTTATTCGATATAATCAACTCAAAATTGATAAAAAGTGTATAGACATTTACATACATTTCACAAGGGAACATACCAAAATGTAAATCGGTGATTTTGATGAAATTTTGTATAATTACAGGATAGCTAAAAATGTTACACACGTATTTCCTTTTTTTTTTATCTGCCATCATTCACATCGAAAAGATGAAATTCGACCATAAAGTAAAGGTATTGAAACATATTTTATCGAATATTTCGTAAAGTATTAGAGATAGGACAATTGCGTAAATCGGCGTATTTTGCGACTTGTAAAGAATCCAGGAAAGACACTAGTGTAAAATTTTATCCTTTTTTCTACCTATTATGCAAATTAGAAAACTCGGTTCCGATGACCTTGACTTTGACATATGCTGTCGAGCAAACCTTTTCATATAAAGAATGTTTAATTTTTAGTGTTTTGTTACCCTACAGCAAAAAATTCCCCCTGTGAGATTCCGTTTAAAAGCAAAAAAGAAATTGTTCAAACTTTAATTGGTGATTTGATCCCCTCATAGACATTTACTAACGGCAAAAAAACTGACTTTAAGTAGTTAGTATGTTTAACTAGATATTTTACGTGTTTACGCTAAACACAAATTATCATTAAAAACAGAAGTTTTGGATTAAAGAATTCCCCTGAAATATAACGTTCAGATACTTCCGCGAGTCACTGTACCCAGAACTAGTGCGATACAATATTTTTAAGATTGGTTCGCTTACCGTATTAAAATTAATTTTTCGAATTAATAACAGGATGAAGCTATATTTAAATTGCCGCCGATCGGAAGGCCTCATGCGTCCTGGAGAGAGTGACACACGTCACGCGTGAAAAAAAAAAAAAAAAAAAAAAAAAAAAAAAAAAAAAAAAAAAAAAAAAAAAAAAAAAAAAAAAAAAAAAAAAAAAAAAAAAAAAAAAAAAAAAAAAAAAAAAAAAAAAAAAAAAAAAAAAAAAAAAAAAAAAAAAAAGAAAAAGAAAAAAAAAGACATATATGTTTTAAGCGAAAAAATCATTACTCATCAATCAGGATCCAGTCAAACTGGAACTTCACTTTCATTCTATATATAGATAGTACTGATATTTTTTCCTTTTCTTTCTTTTTAACTAAACACGTTAGTAGCAATCTTTTTTTTCTTTGCTAATATCTCGAAAAATACGACCGACCGCCAATGTTTTGCAAAGAAAATTTTGTGCACTGCTTACAATAAAATTTATTTTGTAAATATCTGTGTAATTGTTTATTTTAGACCTCATGTCGCATGACATCTTCCTATGCAGAATTCGAGAAGAAACATTAGTCATTTCATTTAAAAAACTAAAGGTGACATTTGCATTTCGAGAAAAAAGTAATACAATATAAAATCGATTACGGTATTGTTTTATTTGATATTTGAACTTTTATTTGACATTTTTTGATACAACAAATAATTTTCGATTTATTTGAAATCGTTATGTTGCGAGACTTGCCCTGTATACACGAAAAACCACTGAATGAAACAAATGTGACGATCTAGATCATTCTATATTATCAAATATTGTAAAACTAAAAAAAGATTATTATAAAATTAACCTTTACCTTGACATTTTCACAGTCAATATTTTCTTTAATTACACTCCATTCATCACAAATAAAGAAGTCTCAATAAAACTATGGATCACAAACAGCAGAACGTCCAAAAATTCATTCATACAGAAAATGAATCTTAAGCATTCTCTCTTTTTTTCAAAAGGACAGTTTAGTTATGATCAACGATTCCTTTCAGATTTTTTGTCTTTATAGTGAGTAGAATGTAAATCGAATGCAAAAAAATAAAAAATTAAACTGAAAATTTCGATTTATTTTGTGGAAATTTGTTTACATCTTTTATTATCAAATCCAGGGTATAAAATCGATCTGTGGTGGTCACGAAACTGTATTTCTTTCTTTTTTTTTATACATCTTGTACATGTTTTCTTTATACAGATCTATTGGCCTTATATTTTCAGTGAACTTAATATTAAGCCTATCACGATCTAAATGACTAAGGCAGATCGTGTCTTATCTGCAAAGAAAAAAGTTATTCCAAATCTTCATTTCTACACATATTCAGAAATTATCAAAATAGGCGAAGGAGTTTATTGACAAATTGACCAAGATGCTAGTTCAAAAATGTCCAAAAGTAAAACATAAAACCTATAAGATACATAATAAAAAAAAAATAAATTATCACAATCAAAATGAGTATAATCAGTCCAAAATAACTCTATGAGCGAGTTGTCTGTTGAAGAGAAATAAATCGAGAATTATGTACAATAAAGTGCATTTACTGAAGTAGAAGCATCCTCGGAACTAAAATTAATCAAAATATACATATAAAAAGCTAAGGATATAAAGCAAATATAAAAAAGTTAAGCATAAAGCAAAGCTAAATAAATATAGAATATCGATAAAACAGTTTTATTAAACTAACTTTATTTTAATGCTTTAATAAATTAATAAATGAACAAAGTTTAATGATTTCAGTTGTTGTTCATAACGTGAAATTTATATTTAAATTAGGCACCAGAAAAATAAATGAGCAAAAGAGTGACTGTTTGAACAGTAAACGAAAAAATATTAAAATAAAATGAAAAATCCACTTTTATTATTGAAACAAGAAATATCTACTTATTTTATTAATATTTATATACATCGTTTTTTATTTACTTGTTATGCATGAAATTTTAGTACTCCTTATTTAATCCAATCTTATACTAGTGAAAAACAGTGAAAGTAGGAAGAGTGTATATATTCTTGATTTTATTTCAATGAAGAATGATTTTATTTTATATTTACTAACTGCCAGCAATAAAATATACTACATATTATGAAATTGTTAAAAGATTGGACATTTCCTGTTTTTTTCTTCTTATTCCTTGTACGTATATGTATATAAATAAGATGTTTGTAACCTATTACATAAAGATTTATAAATTGTGTATAAAAGATAATAATAAAAACAAATATCAATAATACACAGTCTATGGTTATAATATACTTGAATGTTTTGATAATATTTTAAATGTTTACTTATGAAAATATCATGAAACCTCTAGTATAAGAAAATCTAATGTCCAAATATTCCACTATTTAAACATTTTAGTATCCAAACAGCTTATTTTCTTATCTATGTTTTTTACTATCAAAACAAGTGCTACATAGTTATAGAAAAAAGTTTCACTTACCAAAATGTTATCTTTTCTATTGAACATTATACAACCAGTTAATGGAATTATTGAATGTCTTAAATAAAACCAAGAAAAGAATTTACTTTAAAATTTCTTTCTAATTTTTGGGAAAAGAAGTGAAAACAACAAAATTATATAAAAAATTGAATTTTCTAGAAACTACATGGGTTAATATAACAAATATTATGCTAAAAAGAACACCAACAAAGCTCTTTCTTTATAACGAAACTGAAAAATCAACAAAGGAGAAACGATAAAGCTGAACTATTAGTATGTTGCATAAAATACAGAGATGCAAAAAGTGTAATAATAACGTGATAATGATTTGACCAAAACACTGTAATAAATACAATTGGCAATATTTTTAATTCTGATACTAAAAAATTAATCAGTAGTGATAAAGATGTACCTTTTTACTACAAAGCATTTATCATGTCAGAAAAAGAACTAAGATGATTAAAAAAATAAAAAGAATATAATTTAACACCGTTTACTATGTTAAATTATTATTATATTTTTCTTTCTTTAATATGTAGTGACAATACAAAAGAAATACAAATGTTCTAGTACTTAAAAGTCCCTTTATCTGAACAGTTCGTATTAATTTGAATACTGAAAGTTTCGCCATATAATAAACAAAAATCAAGGTAAACAATTTACTTCTATATTTAAGTAAAATATGCCAATTTTGTATCTTTGATTATACTATTGCATCAACTACTATTTATTAAATTAACTATTTATTTAATTAATTATTTAATTTATATTAAATTTATTTAATTAATGATTAAATTAACTATTTATTAAATTAAAAACATAAAAATTAATAAATAATTTTAAATATAACTATTCTCTTGCATTATTTTTAATTTAATTGTTCCTTGTATTTTCTTTCAAATATTTACATGTAATATTTTAAAGATTGAGGTATATTTCTTAACTACTTTAGATATTTTACTCGTAAAACTTTGAGCATTATAATCATTGCAATAACTATAATCAATATTCAGAAATAAATATCAAGTATTGGAAAAGAAAACAGTGAAGAAATTTTTAACATATATTTTGAAGACTTTTTATTTAATTATGTGAATCCAAACTGAATCGAATTTCATTAATTAATCTCTTATTATTAAATTCATAGAAAGATCCTTTTAATCACAATGTATAAGAAAATAATAAAGGAGGAAGGTATTATTATTTACTTTCTATTACATGATGATAAATTTCTATTCTATTATGATTTGAAATTGAAAGCTTACAGACAACATATTTGATATAAATTATTTTGACATACATTTGACATAAAGTACTTTGCGACATAAATTGAAAGATTCATTTTCTATTATAATACATAAATAAATAAGCAATTTATAAAGTATTTAAATGTATTATGATTAGCAATTATATATTACTTATGATTATTTTTAGTATAATTTATTTAATATAACAATGAAAAGTAATTTTTATGAAACTTTATGGTTTTAAATCAATTACACTGCATAAAAAATTTCACACTTAAATACCTTTGAAACTACAGGGGATGTCATCTTGATAACTGAGTTTAGTTCAATGATAATAAAAATCGAGCCATCACATCACGTTAAACTCACTACATAAAACAACTAGAAACTCATATTAGAGGTTATTTATTGTTTCAATATTTAGTGTATTTATTAAGTATTAATCGATGATTTTTGATAAATTTTATATGTATATATTTTAACATTAGTAACAACTTTGCTAAATTGTTACTCTTTTATAAATAAAAATATCAAATTTTATTAACATAAACCAACAAAAAATAAATATCATACTAGAGAAAATACCAGGGAACACTAACGCTAAATGTGTTTAATAGGCAAACTATTTTTGTGTAACAACAAATAAACTAGAAGTTGTAATTATTCATCTTTAACTTTTTTATTGTATTTATACAAATTAATATTAATTGTATAATAAGTGTTTTGCATTACTCTCATAAATTTACTAAAAAATTTCTTCAATATTTTCCATTGCTTTAAAACATATATATATATATAGCATTTACTGTTGTGATGAAATTATAGAATATAAAAATATAAAATTTTATTCCAATAATATTCAAAACAAAATAAAAATAAGAAATTAATAATATACTAAAATAAAACAATAAAATTACCTTGCTGTGTCTTTAAATTATTATTGATATAATATAATTTATAAACACAATTAAATATTAAGAAACTTAAAGTTAAAGTTAATATATTTACAATTATACTTAAATGTACTACATTCCCATCTCTAAAGCAAATAATCTAATCAATGAAATGTTTATAATTTAGAATTAAAAATTATCAAAATATTCATAGGTATTGTAGAAGAGAAGTAGTGATATTGTATAATGTAATTACTAATTGTAAGCAGAAAAAAATTTTATTATAAAAAATATTAAAATGTTTAAAAAATTAGGGAAACTATAGCAAAATATTTAATAATGTTTCATGAAATGCTGAAGAATTGATAAGATATAAGAGATGTAAGAGGAATATTTATTACAACTATTGTGTGTAATAATACAATAATATAAATCAGAAATTCATTAAATTAAAAAGTTTAAAAGTAGGAAATTAAATTATACAAGAACTTAATTCTTAATAATATATTAAATACTTTTAGCTTGCCATAACAAAATTACCTGAACCTAAAATAAAGACAAACTGAAAATAAAAAAAAAATTATGTAAATTTTAGATTCAAATGCTATAATATAAATTTATAAGCAATTGAATGTAACATGAAATGTTAGCAGAAACAAATTTTTTTGTGATAAAATATGAAAGACTTAATTTCATTCATTTTTTGACAATGTTCTTAAACAATTCAGTACAGACTATTAGTTGTATTAATATTAGTCATAGCAATTGATTTTCAATTACTATAGAGCACAATCAAAATGTCAAAAGAATGCAGTGATATTTATTTTATATGCAATTTATATAAGAGAAATGTTGAAGATGCCGTATAAGAATATTTCATTTCATCTTTCAATTAGGCTTCAGAAATTGATTACAAAATACTTATAAATATTACACATTTAATATGCATAACTTATATATGAAACTAAATATCATTTCTAATATAAACAATAAAGGAATTTGAAAACTATGTAATGTTTCATATAAATATAAACATATACAAATAAAATTATTATATAACTTAAATCAATGAATTATGCAAATTGGTATAATGTATTAATGTACTCTTGCTAATTACTTATAAATGATCTTATAATATAAGCAAAGTTAAGTAATTGTTTATCAATTTGTTATTATTCTTTGTAGATATTATTACACAATGGCGAAAAACAGGAACTACATTAGAGAAGTGTTAAATCTATGAATATATTTAACAAACAATTGTTCATATATGTTATATTGTTCTTATTGTGCATTCAATGCATACTTTCCTTATTTATTTACTTCATTTTAGTTTATTTCATTTTGGTCAATTATGAAACGTTTTTAAGAAATTGAAATAATAGCCTTAATAAAATTTGTTAGAAATCCTTAACATTATACAAAACAGAAATAATTTTATCAACTGAGAATTTCATTACATTGAAAATTACATTTTAATAATTATTATTAAAGTTTTATTCAACTTCGCTATTTATATTTGAATTTATTTTATCAAATCGATACAGACATAAAACACAAATTCTAGTTTCATTAAAGTAATATTTAAAATTGGAAATGGAAAGCTTAATGAAAACACATTACTATATAAATAAAATGTACTATATATAAGTAAAAATATACATAGGTAAAAGATACATTTTTTGCATAATATTTAAATTCTTCTTTGCATATTTTATTTTACTGTAATTACAACAACTTAAGAGGCAAATTTAATATAATTTTATTGAAAATAATTTAAATTTATATAGTGAGAAAATGTAAAGTCCTAAATATAACGCGTGATCGATAAATACCGAATTAAACAATATAAAAACAACTCTAAAAATAATTCAATTTATCTAATAATTTTTTAGCAGAGAATTTTTATATATTGAGATGTCCTGAAATAGAAATAATTTGTATTTTTAAAATATTACTATATAAAAATTTAGTTATACGATTACTTTTATTATTGGTTACAATATCTAGTATCAGCCTCAAATTTAATCTAGTAACAAAATTCAAATGTAGTAACAAATATACTAATTTAGTATAAAATTTAATATTTGCAATCATATAGTTTTAGAATAACATATTTATAGCTTTTATAAATTAATTACATTTAATATGTATGCCAAATAAAGAAAATTGGAAAATTATTAGTAATAATATATGTAAAATATTATCGAATGCTTTTTCCTTTTTTTATTATAACTAACATTTATTATATAAATATTTTTAATTAATGAAATATATCAATCTGAAAATTGAGAATAAAATATTTACATACATTATATTCTGTACACGTTTATTGGAAACATTAAAGATATAACTTAAATGATGTTGATAGGTCAGCCATCTGCCGATGTTGCAGCCAAAGCCACGTCATATTTTGTATGCTTTGTGACTTAGGTGCGTGAAGGATTTCTCGATACTCTTATAAAAATTACTATTTAGCAACCGAAAACATGAACATATTTCGACTCTTAGGTGACTTATCACATATTCTTGCGATTATCATCCTTCTTCTCAAAATATGGAAGACACGAAGCTGTGCCGGTATACATCACTCATATGATTTATATGTTTATTATACTTAAAATATTTTATACTGTATTATAGTAATTATGAATCGTTAATAATTTATTATTAATATTTATTTTGTATTTTACAGGTATTAGTGGAAAGTCGCAAATTTTATTTGCAATTGTATATACCACACGTTACCTAGATTTGATAACAACATATATTTCAGCATATAATACATTTATGAAAATCATTTTTATTGCCACTTCTTGTGCTACAATTTTTTTAATGTATGTGAAATTTAAAGCAACATATGATCATAATCATGATACATTTAGGTATGATGTTTTTGTATATAAAATAATGTACATATCTTTATATACGTATATCTGTGAAAATAATTATTTATCTAAATAATACTTGTAAGTTTGAATTTTTATGTAATAACTTCTATTGGTTATTTTCAGAATTGAATTTTTAATTTTACCTACATTGGCATTGGCATTAGTAATCAACCATGAATTTACAATTATGGAAGTTCTATGGACATTCAGCATTTATTTGGAATCTGTAGCAATATTGCCACAATTATTTTTGGTATCAAAAACAGGAGAAGCAGAGAGTATTACCAGTCATTATCTTTTCGCTTTGGGAACTTATAGAGGCCTGTATTTATTAAACTGGGTGTATCGCTATTATGCAGAACGTTATTACGATGCAATTGTTATAATTGCTGGTTTAGTACAAACTATTCTTTATTGTGACTTTTTCTACCTCTATATTACCAAAGTATTGAAAGGCAAGAAGTTACAACTACCTGCTTAGCTACGTAAAACCATTATCATTTGGAAAATTATATGTTGCTCAAAGGAGCGATATCATTATTAATTGAATTTATATAAATTTTGGCAATATTTAAAGTGGAGGAATGCTCGTGTACAAAGTATACATTTTATTAATTGTAAAGCATTCCATCTTCTTGTATGTTCAACATCACTAAACATTCATGTATAATTTTTCATCTTTATCCCATATGGCTACATTCATATTTTAGAATGTTATTCTCATTAATTTTTCAGCATTTTACACCATTAAATAATACATAATAAGTATGATTATGATACCTATTTCATTCATTTAATTGATAAATAATATATAAAATACAAAATGATTGGGAATGAAGGTTATATCGTGATTTCAAAATTTGTTATATTTTCTAGAAGTTAGAAATTAATTGTACTGATAATGTATTTTAAACTTCTGATATATCAATTTTATTGAAATGAAATTAAACCATATTAAATGGTTAACAACGCAGAGTTATATACTTTACTAAATCAGTTACATGTATTGCTTCAGTAAGAGTTGTTGATCTGTCCTTTATGTGTATAATGCCATTTTCAAGACTAGTCGTATCAACAGAAATTATGAAAGGAACTAAGCATGTATCTATAATTTGTTCTGAAGTGGTTAATATTGTATTCAGGCCTTTTGTTCTTAGCATGTTATTTAAGTAAAGTACAAAGCGATTCAAATCATCATTTTGAGTATTCTCTTCATTATTTGATCGTTTTATATGAAATGCAACTTTATGTGGTGCTAATTTGGAATGAAGATGCATTTTGGTTGATTTATTCATATCACATGCGTCACAAAGTAGTGCTAAACAACCCCAATCTAAGGACATCTTATGTTCAACCATTTGTATGTTGGTAAAATCCTTTTTGCTATCAACCTGAAAATAAAATAATCCATAATAATAATTGTTATTTTTAAATTTCTACAATGCGAAGCAACATGGAAGAAGAAATAAGGTACCTGAGAGAATAGTTTATGTACGTCCATATGGTAAGTTATTTTTTCCACAATAAGATTGCCAAATGAAAATTGTGCCTCAATATCTATTACATCACAATTTTTTACTCTTTTTGCTTCTGTGAGCTTAAATCTAGAAGGGTATTGTGCTAATCTTCGCCACCAAATTTTACGTTCTTTTTGTATTTTATGAAATAAATCTTTGGTTTCTGTATCGCTATTAAAAATAGCTATCTCTGCAATTTTGTGAACATTTGATTTTTGTATAGTTAATATATTTTGGTCCCAATAATATTTTGAACTTTTTATTGTAGCTAATCCAAATGGTATATCGCTCATTTCTGTTTTTGTAATAAAATTTAAAGTATTGTGAAGTTCATCTGACAGAAATATGTTATAGCGTGACATTGTAATACAGTGTAGAAACCAATGTTCTTCAAGGTTTTTCAACAGCATTTTACCTTGAGGTCCATATTTAAATCCACATTCTGTGATGGTAAGAAAATGTACACCCAATTCTTTTAGCACATTGTGTATTATGTTCATAATGTTTTTGTAATTGTTTGTACCGGTGCTATAAAATATTCTTCTTCTACAATAGCAGCATTCATTAAGATTTCCTGTCTGGACGTAATACTCTCCACGCTATCATTTCTTAAAGGAACTGATTCTTTTTCAAGTGGACTATACATAGGCTCAATATCGTCAATTTTTGTATTGCGTAAATGTTCTGTAAAAGTAATTGCAGCTTTTAGGACAGAAGAACTATAATCACCATCAACATTAAGCAAAGATAATTGTCCTATCTTATTTATTGTTTCTTGTTTTATAATTGGCATAGTTGAACATAAAAGTACATGTTTTGTACAATAACGATGAAAGTTTGAATTTAAAAGCGTTGGTAAATATATATAATTCAATCGTAGGATAGATTGAATAAATTTCATTTTAATAACGTTATTTGTAGCTGTTAGTGTTATTATTCATTAAGTAATTAAAGTTTTATTTACTGATTATTTGTATGTAATTACTTTCCGATACTGTTCCCATAAAAATCAAAGTAACGATTTATAGTTATACAACTTGAAAACAGGAGATAACAATGCGATGTTTTAGGTAGTGACATCTCATGGATATTATCAAAATTTCCGTTAGTCTTGGCTTTTGAAAATACTAGATAAATAACTGACTGAAATATTTACACATTTATTCTAAAAATCAAAGACTCTAATATTAAAGTCTATTTTAATGATATATTGAAATACTATTAATACATGCTAATAACAAAATTTAAATAAATGTTTAACTTTATGATTTTGTTATTCTCTTTTGCTGTATTTTATATACTATCAATAGGTCATTTGGATAATTACACTTGGAAGAAAAATATTTGAAAGCAAGAAAAATTAAAAGTATATAACATTTATAATACTATAATATTATGGTATTATATAAATTTTATTTCATAATATTATGAATGAAATTAAACGTAAACATAAAATTAAACGTAATCAAACGAATGCAAAAGTGTTTACAAGCATAAAACTGTTACGTATTTCATGGTTGTTTAAACATATGATTAACGTGAGATGGTGCTCATAATGCATTGAAGTCTTTGCTCATTGGAAACGTACAAAAGTGCGCGAAAGTTGAAATAATTATTTAAATATAAATTGTCTTTATCATTTAGAGTAAGCTGATATGAAACATTTACTATTTGAAATATGAATGTAATAATTCTTTCTATTAAAAATTCTCCTTCTATGGAGATTAAATTCTGTCTGCACCTATGTATCCGTGACAGTATATGTGTCGATAAGCGGTCCGGCTCCGCTTAAAAAGCACCGCGCCAACTGTAAACACCAACGTATATACAACAGGCGAACTTGAAAATCATATTTAACTAGTTGAGTTTAAATGATAAATAATAAGACAAGGTAAATTTGCAGTTTAGCGAGTCCACCCATTCAAAAGGATGAACTAGAAAAATGAACTTAACTGAACCTAACTGAATTCAAAAATTTACGCTAACATGGTCTCACAGGGACCGGTATATTTTTAACTTATTTACCTAATCGAATTTAAGTTATCAGTGGATTAGGTTAGTTTAGGACAGGTTAATATTTCGACCGCGTTACGGCGCGGCAGTCAACTACGTAGGTTAGAGAATTGCGAACCATTGTACTCAATTAAGTACGATCTTTTTCGAATATATAAAATTCTCGACAATTATGTTCAGTTCATTTTACACGCTGTAATTACTCTGATAATGCTTTATTTGAAAATAGAAAAGTTGTGGCTGTACGTTGATACATAAATTGTCACGGACACGTAGATGCAGGCAGAATTTTCTTTAACAATCCTATATAACTCAGCAACTTTTTCTTTGAAGGGAGCGACAGGTGGGTTAATGTCGCATCAATTACCATTAGCACCAACTATTATTGTACTTTAAACTTTATTGTATAATGAGATGTATTTTATAAGAGATAACTCGAGAGATTTATTTTCTATGGTTAAGGTAGTTTTCAATTGGAATTAGATACGGGGCCTTGAATAATTTTTACAGTGTAGGAGGATATGCTTCACTGTGATTTCGGTGCTGCAAATGGTACATATCGAGTGTTCGGTTTTGGAGATCAGGTGAGAATGAGTGAGTTTTAGGTGTTTATTCATGATTATTTGGTATTTCCGATCAAAGCATGAGCGGTGGCGGGGGTCTTTCATTCGTTGTTTCAGTGATGCTGTAGATGTTTCTTGAATAGTTTTTGAATACCTGCAGGAGACTATATAGTCTGTTTGGTGATGTTTGTATGGTTGCTTTCTTTGCTGCTGTGTCCATTATTTCGTTACTGTTTTTTACAGCTAAGTTTTTAGTATGTCCAATGTAATATCATCGTTCTTTGTTTTATCTTTGATTATCGGTATGGCATTTTTTCAGTCAGAGAGAATTATACAGTTTTTGTTTGTCTTTGGGTAGTTTGTCTTTGTGTATAGTGTCTTTGATGACGGTGGCATAGACGACGTTTTTCGAGACCGACTAGTCAGTAAAAACTTTGGCGAATTTATTTAGGAACTCTAAAGTCAACTGTTTGAAAAGTTATAGGTTTGTGTTGGCTTTGATATGAGTTTCAAGGTCGATGTTCACTCGAGTAGGGTGCATTGTCTAAGCAGGAACTCTGGCAACCTTTTCTGGGCGACTTCGTTCAAATATATGTTCAGATTGAGTCCAGTTTTGATGTCATTGCTTTTGTCGTAAAATGGTTTATATTTCTTTGATGTTTGGTTTGGGGGTTTTTGATTACCAAATATAGTTGTGAATACTGTTTCTTTTTTCTGTTTTTTTTCTTTTTTTTTTTTTTTTTTTTTTTTTTTTTTTTTTTTTTTTTTTTCATTGCAGTCTGCTATTTTAATAGCTATGTTACAAGAAATGACACGTGGTCTTCACACCATGTCATACGTTTTTTTTATGTCCATGCAGACTGCTGTGACATGTAACCTAACCTAACCTAATCTAACCTAACCTAATCTAACCTAACCTAACCAGGGGATAAGTTTTTGTATTTTCTTAGCACTTCCTTTGTTTCTTTTGCTTGTATGGGGTTATTAATAGAAGGGCATTTGCATATATTATGAGTGTTTGGTGTTTGTTGTTTTTTCTATGAGTTCGTTAAAACTTGTATTGTAGTTGTTGCTTGAATTCATTTGGAAATTGTATACCAGCAAATTAGCAATTTCCTCTGCATCAGTGCTGAAGGAATTATCCGGTTTAGATAGAGTCGCTATGACGTAATATTGGGATTTACTTCTAATAGGTCGTATTTTACTCCATATGTCCTTTATAGGTGAGTTTTTATTGAGAGTTGTGACGAAGTTTATCCATGGTTGCCGTTTGCTTCCTTTAATGGTTCTTCAAGAAACAGCTTAGTATTTCTCGAAGGTAATACGATTTTATAGGCTGCGATTTTCTTGTATTTATTAAATGTCTTTTTTGTTTTCTTGATTATTTTTTCGCAGTGTTTATTCTACCATGACACTGGAAAATAACGGGGGGTGTTGGGTTTCGTTTGAGTATTAAATGAGTAGTCGCATTGTGTATTGCGTTAAGGAACTTATTTAATAGTTTATTAATTTAATTCGCATCGAGTACAGATAGTACATCTGGCATGCATACTATCGAGTCTGATGATTGTGAATTATTTCAATCTAGGGCTTCTATGTTACGAATATATAATATTCTTTCGCTATAATTGTTAGATTTTCTTCGACAAAGGTGTTTTTTAGACTTTGGAGCTGATTGTAACCGAGGATAAAGTTATTATTGGGTTTGTCAAAGGCGGGTTTTGCTATGGATCTATTAGTTGAGGAGCTACGTTTGGGTTTTTTTCAGGGGTTGATCTTTGGTATGCGATTTGTTTCTCCCTGCGTGGATATCGTCGATGTTGAATTGTTCAGGTTGATAGCAATAGAGGTCCAGAAAGGTCTTTCAAAGTTATTTATGGGTGATATAATGTCTATCAGTGATAGAATGTCAGCTAGCGATAGTGACGTGTTAGGATTGGAGACATTGTTGTCGTTTATATCGGCGGCGGCGCGGTTCGGGGGACCGAAGGGACTCGGCTTGAGATCAAAGAAAGCTTCTTGTCTTAGAAAGTTTATTCTTTACGCATCGATCTTTTACTTTGTCGTGAGTCTTTTACGTCTCATAACGATCGAGAGACATCGCGGGCATAAAGCCGCCGCTATCCGTCTCTCGGCGACCGCTTATCCGATTGTTGCGGCTTTTTTTACAATATGTTCATACCGTAGAGCAGTGAGTGATTTTTTTTTCGATGGTTTTGATTGCTTTAGACTGTTATGGTTCTTTGTATGTAGCGTTGCACTGTTTGGCAACGTGATCTTCTTTACATAAAGAACAATCTATTTTCTCGGTAAATACGGTAAGTTGTATAGTCGTGGTTGACTGTGAAGGAATACGAAATTTTGACTGCATCATCCGAGTTGACATATACCTGACTACTGAAGCAAAGAACGCGATCGAAAGCGGGATCTTAACTCGCTGCTCTCAGGAAGGTAATTTTTGAGCAAATCTTGTCATTATTGGCGGCGAAGTTTCTTTCAATGGTTTCGTTCGAGGTACATGTAGGATCGGGGTGTGTGGATTGGCTAAAGTAACGCTGCTTTACTGCTTCTTAAAATACAATAAACTTATGCTTATATTATCGGCTACGAAACTAAAGACTCGCTACGGGTACGCTCGACTTTTACTTGTTAGACGCTATCTTGAAGACCGTGAAGGACTGTCCTCGCCGGCGCCCTTGCACCCTTATTTAAATCGTTCATCCTCCTCGTTCATACCCGGACTTTCTTCCCCAGTCATGCTCCTTTCTCACGCAACCTCGGTGGGCCAGGCACTTCAACCACTCTGCACGCATCCTTAAACTTTCGCTCGACTCTACCATAAATAATCCTTGCAGTCGATCCTTGCGCACATGGTCACTTTCATTCTAAGTCCAGACACACTCGACATTTCCCAGAGTCACACTTATTTCGTTCCCACATACAAGGAGATACATTTGAGAGAATTACTCTTTGACATTGGAATCCTTGATAGCAATTGTTAGGTGTGTAGATGTAAGACGATGAGCTGTTTCTTTCCTATTTAGGTATTCTATATACACGTACAATTGTTGGAAATTGATGAAATGAATCGTGTAAAGCGGTTACCGGCTAATTGGCCAATTGTACGTGTATAATCTATATAGTGGCCCTATCGATGTTGTTTGCAATAATAGCTGCTTCTTTGATTGGATACATATTGTTTACGATTACCGGTGCATAGGCTGGTGCCAACACTACTCCAAGTAGGCATTGCCGTTTTGTCACTATTTTTTTTCGTGTTGAAAACGGGCCTCCTGTACTCGAGAGGCCTCGTGGTTTATAGGCTGGTGGACGCTCATTATGTAGGGTGATAGGTCACGCTGCGTGTGGGTGCTTTTACCGCGCGCTGTTATCACGCGTGTATCTCAAGATTTTCCGCTCATGGATTTGATGTAGCAAGGCACTGACCACTGTTAAACTATTAGCTGGCACTCGCGATCGTCGAC